AAAATGTTAAAATTTGTATGGTAACACAAAAGACCCCAAATAACCAAAACAATCTTGAGAAAGAAGAATGGAGCTGGGGGAAATCATGCTCACTGTCTTCAGACTATATTACAAAGCTACAGTAATCAAAACAGTATGGTACTGGCACAAAAACAGACATAGATCAATGGAACAAGATAGAAAGTCCAGAAATAAACCCATGCACTTTTGGTCAATTAATCTATGGCAAAGGAGGCAAGAATATACAATGGATAAAAGACAGTCTCTTCAATAAGTGATGCTGGGAAAACTGGATAGCTACATGTAAAAGAAAGAAATTAGAACATTCTCTAACACCATATACAAAAATAAACGCAAAATGAATTAAAGACCTAAATTTAAGACTGGATACTATAAGACTCCTGGAAGAAAATATAGGCAGAACACTCTTTGACATAAATCACAGCAGTATTTTTTTCAAACCCGCTCCTAGAGTAATGGAAGTAAAAGCAAAAATAAACAGATGGGACCTAATTAAACTTAAAAGCTTTTGCACAGCAAAGGAAACCATAGTCAAACAAAAAGACAACCTAGAGAATAGGAGAAAATATCTGCAAATGACGTAACTGACAAAGGACTGGTTTCCAAAATATACAAACAGCTCACAGAGCTTAATGTAAAAAACACAAACCAACCCAATCAAAAAAGGGGCAGAAGGCCTAAACAGATATTTCTCCAAAGACATCCAGATGGCCAGCACGAACATGAAGATACTCTACATTGCTAATTATTAGAGAAATGCAAGTCAAAATTACAGTGGGGTATCACCTCACACCAGTCAGAATGGTCATTATTAAGAAGTCTACAAACAATAAACACTGGAAAGGGTGTGGAGAAAAGGGAACCGTCCTATACTGTTGGTGGGAATATAATTTGATGCAGCCACTTGGAAAACAGTATGGAGATATTTCAAAAAACTAAAAATAGATTTACCATATAAACCAGCAAACCCACTCTTGGGCATACATCTGGAGAAAACTCCAATCTGAAAAGATATATTATACACCCCAATGTTCACGGCAGCACTATTTACAATAGCTAAGACATGGAAACTATCTAAATGTTCACTGACAGATGACTGGATAAAGAAGATGTGGTTTATATATACAATGGAATATTACTCAGCCATAAAAAAGAATGAACTAATGCCTTTTGTAGAAACATGAACAGACCAAGAAATCATCATATTAAGTGAAGTCAGTCAGACAGAGAAAAAATATCATATAACACCACTTATATGTGGAATCTAAAAACTACAAAAGATACAAATTTTATTTACAAACCATAAATAGACTCACAGGCATAGAAAACAATGTATGGTTATCAAAGGGGAAAGGTAGGGTGGAGGGATAAATTAGGAGTTTGGGATGAATAGATACCCATTACTATGTATAAAATAGATAAACAACAAAGACCTACTGTATAGCATAAAGAAGTATATTTAATTTCTTGTAATAACATACATTGTAAAAGAATCTGAAAGAAATACATATCTCTCTCTCTCTCTCTCTCTCTGAATTGTTTTACTATAGACCTGAAACTAACAATATAAATCAACTACACTTTTGTGACTTTCCATTCTTATTCCTGTTACTCACTTCTAGTCTCACCACACTGTGTTTGGAAAGATACTTGATTTGATTTGAATCTTAATTTGTTAAGACTCGTTTGTGATCTAACATGGGATCTATGCTGCAGAGTATGCTGTATGTGCTTGAAAAGAATGTATATTCTGCTGCTGTTGGGTAGAACATTCTGTATGTTTGCTAGGTCCACTTAGTTTTGTTCAAGATCACTGTCCCCTTAATGATTTTCTGCCTTGATGTTTTATAAATTATTGGAAGTGTGATATTGGTCCCATATTATTATTTATTGCTATTTCTCCCTTCAGCTCTGACAATATTTACTTCACATAGTTAGATACTCCAATGTTCAATGCACGTGTACTTACAATTACTGTACTGTCATGATAAACTGATCCTTCTATATTGTATAATATCCTTCTATTTCTTGTAGTTTTTAACTCAAAATCAGTTTCTCCAAGTAGTGCCACTCCTGCTCTTTTGTTTACTGTTTGCATGTAATCTTTTTGTAATCTTTTCACTTTCATCCTATACGCACCTTTAAATCTGAGTCTCTTAAGGATAGTATATTGTTGGATCTTGTTTTTCTTCAATCCAATCAGCAACTGTATGTCTTCTGATTGTAGAGTATGATCCATTTATATTTAAACTCATAACTGATATTAAAGGACTTACTATCACCATTTTAAAATGGCTTTGTGTCTCTTGTAGTTATTTTGTCCCCCTTCCCCTCTTGCTGCCTAGTTTTTTGTTGATTTTTCCGCAGTGACATGTGTTGGGTCCTGAAAATATTTTCTTTTTCATATCTTCTATAGGTATTTTCTCTGTGTTTACCATGGGGTTATAAAAAACATCTAATTCTAAAAATCTATTTTAAACTGGTAATCTAATTTCAATCACATACAAGAACTCTACTCCTTTATATCTCCCCCTACACTTTTTGTTATTGATGTCACAAATTACATTTTAAAATTCTGTATCCCTTAAGATAATGTTAGTTTTTTTTGTGCTTTTATGTATTAAATTCTACACCTGAAAGAAAAGTGATTTTCAGATGACTCTTACAGTATTACAGGATTCCTCATTTATCTATATATTTATTTTTACCCAATAACTTTGTATTTTTGTATGCTTCATGCTACTGTCTAGCATCCTTTCATTTCAACTTGAAAGACATCTTTAGCAATTTCTGTAAGGCAGGTTGAAGGCGAACTCCTTCAGCTTTCTTTATATGAGGTCTTTATTTCTCCTTCATACGTGAAGGACAGTTTTGCTGGATACGGTAATTTCTGTTGGCAGTTTCCTTCTTTCAGCACTTCATATATATCATGCTACTCCCTTCTGGCCAGTAGTATTTCTGTTGAGAAATCGCCTGTTAATCTTATGGGGCTCCCTTGTACATAATAAGGTGATTCTGTCTTGTGGCTTTCTAAATTCTTTCTTTGCATTTATAAAGTTTGATTACAATGTGTCTCAGTGTAAGCTTCTTTGGGATCACACTTGTTGGGGTCTTTTGATCTTCTTGAAGGTGAATATCCATTTCCTTCCTCAGATTGGTGAGTTTTTGGCCATGACATCTTCAGATAAGCTCTCTGCCCTAGTCTGCCACTCTTCTATTTCTCAGATTCCCATAATGTCTATGTTGTTCTGCTTGACAGCATCACATAAATCCCTTAGGCCTTCTTCACTTTTCTTTGTTCTTTTTCCTTTTTGTTACTCTGACTTGGTAATTTCAATGACCAGTCTTTGAGGTCACCGCTTGTTTATTCTGCTTGACTGTCCGCTCCAGTGAGTTTTTCAGTTTGGTTACTGCATTCTTCAGTTCCAGAACCTCTGTTTCTTTTTAAAAACAGTTTCTATCTCTGTTGATATTCTTTGTTCACTTATCATCTCCCTGATTTCTTTAGTCTGTGTTCTCTTACGATACATTTAGCTTTTTTAAGAGGAGTATTCTGAATTCTCCATCAGATAATTTACAGACCTCTGTTCCTCTGAGTTTGGACATAGAGATTTATTTCGGTCCTTTGACTGGGTCACGTTTCCCTGTTCCTTCATGTGTCTGATTATTTTTTCTTTGTGTTTTGTGTACCTGAAAATGCACTTCAGGGAAATTTCTCCCCCATATTAAACTGTTCTCCTTAAGTGCATTTCAGTCAGTCTGGCTGGAGATTCCCAGTCGGGTCATGGGGGAAAGAGTGTCTTCTCAAACCTTGCATGGAGGATGCACCTTCTTTGGGCTTCTATATGGAATTTCCCAATTCGAGAGGTTTGTGGGTTTCTTTTTCAGGAGTTTGTGGTTGGTCCATCTGGTGTTTAAATTACTGCAGGCTTTCTGGCTCTGCAGCAAGCTGCTTAGATCTCTCTTGTCCTCTGTGGCCCTCAGGCACCCAAGGTTTGATGGTCCCTATCAGTGCTCTGGGATAGACAAGACAGAAACGAGTCCCCCAAAAGCTGGAACGCATGTTCCAATCTTTTCCCTTCTCAATGGAGAAGCCAGCAGTTGAGTATTTTTCTCTCCATCAAAAGCAGTGCTGACTTGTGGGAGGGGCTGATGCAGTGGTAATAAAATGGCTTTCCTTATCCATTAAAATGTAGCTATTCTGGGCTTTGAGTCTGTCTGGTGTACTACAACTTCCTAACTGATTTCTGGAGGACTCATAAAGGTTTCTTGGAAAGTATGTTTTTTTTCCTTTTTTTTCTTAACTTTTTTTTATTGATTTATAATCATTTTACAATGTTGTGTCAAACTCCAGTGTTCAGCACAATTTTTCAGTCATACATGGACATATACACACTCATTGTCACATTTTTTTCTCTGTCAGCTACCATAACATTTTGTGTCTATTTCCCTGTGCTATACAGTATAATCTTGCTTATCTATTCTCCAATTTTGAAATCCCAGTCTATTCCTTCCCATCCCCCGCCCCCCGGCAACCACAAGTCTGCACTCTCTGTCTGTGAGTCTATTTCTGTCCTGTATTTGGAAAGTGTGTTCTTGTTAAGCTGATGTCTCTGTGGGGGAACGAGGTCTGTGGCTTCTTATTCTTCTATTTTGCTGCCATCACTCCCAACATATTTTTAAAAATTAAAAGCTACTTAAAAATGCAGATAAATGCTTATGAAAATAGCAAGTAAAAAAGCAGAATTTGATATTACTGATTGATTTTCACTATATATCTCTATTATAAACAGTAAATGAGACATACACAAAAATAAAAAAGGAAATCAGTTATGTTAGTGTGGTCACACAGGTGATGCTAATTTTTTCCTATAAATCTGTTTAGTATTAGTATTAATAGTTAAAAAGACTACAGTGCTGATTTTTTTCACTATTAAACTTCTACAAAAAATGTAAATTTTGAAATTAATATTACTTACCTAGTATTTAATTGCTTCTTTATAATTTCTAAGTTTACTGGTGGAAATGAAATAGAAGCATCAAACTTCTTCACTGTTTGAGAGTCACTGCTGTGAGAAAGATCTATGTCTCTTCCCTAGAAATAATATGAAAATTTGTGTTGTTATCACCATCCATTAATCTTACAAATATTAACAGCATGAAAGGAGGTTGGATACATCAAGATCTTACCAGCTCAAAATTCCATGCCTTTGACATTTTTCACAGTTGGAATAAAATCTTTTTAAAATTCTCACACAGTTTTAAAATTTAGAACTTTAAATCCACATGCAAGAGGCAAATTGCAAAATCTTATTTTTCATAGAAGCTTGGTTCTCAGTGTTTTTAAAGCTAATTCTGTTTATGGTCTAATATACTCTCAAAACATCAAATACCTGTTTTCTATGATAGAAGTTGCCACCTAACTCCAGTCTACTCAGAGGAAATCAAATGGAAGTCTTCTAGTGGGTTTTCTCGGTAAAGCGTTTAATTTTATTTAAGCTACTATTATTTGGATTTTGTTACTTTATCCTCTTTTGCCCCCAAACCCTAAACATCTTTCAAAGACTCATTCAAATTTTACCAGGTTTTTCAAAACCTCATCTACCTTCTCACCTACAAACCTGATCACTCACTTGCTCCATTGTGCCATCTCAGGGCACTGAACACAATTGTCACAGAACTTGCAAGATTTTACCGTAATTATTTTTATCTGTCCTTCCCCTGTAAAGATTGCACATCCTCTTGTCTACCACTGTTAAGTGGCTATAGTGGCTACCAAGTGATATAAAAAGAGAGGTTCAGGTGCTAGTATCCCAAACCTGTGAGTATCACCTTGAGTGGCAAAAGATGTGAGTAAGCTAAGAATCTGGAGAGGAGCTTATCCCGGATTATCCAGATGGGTCCTAACTGGAATTAAACATACCCTCATAGGGCAGAGGGAAAGGAAGTTTTGGGATGCAGGAAAATGAGGTCATTGAAGATGGAGTAGAGAGATGTAGCTACATGCGAAGGAATGCCAACAGCCCCCAGGGGTTAGAGTAGTGAAGGAATAGATTATCCTCTAGAGCTTTTCGGACGGAGTATAGATAATCCAACTCCTTGATTCTGGACTTCTGGCCTCCAGAAGAGTGAGAAAATAGAATTCTGTTGTTTTTAGCCATTCACTTTGTAGTAATTTGTTACAGCAGTCACAAGAAACAAATACTGTGGCATGCAGTAAATCTTTAACAAAGGAATCAGTAAATGCACCCACATTAGTAATAAAAATGCAAATCAAATAAACTTTTTGAGATTCCATTCTCACCAACTAAACCTTCACCTAAAGCTGGTAAGATTATTGTGAAACACTCCCTTAATATCGGTGGCACTACAGATTGATTTAAAATTTCTCTAGAAAGCAACAAAGAAAAATACAGTTAAGTGCCATTAAAATGTTCATCTTCTTTATTAGTAATACCATTCTTGGCCATTACCTAAAGAGAGTAGTTGAAAAAACACATCAGAAGAAAAGAAAAAGAAGGAAGGAAAAAAACCAAGCAAATATTTACCAATTCTTACCAATAATGGCAAAAATATTCAGATTGCATATAACCTAAAATGTTCGCTAAAAAAAAAGGCTCAAAAAATTACAATTAATCTACTCCAATAAATACGCAACTTTAAAAATCAGTCGTTATTTTAATTATGTAGGAACGGGGAATCAGAATTCAAAACTATATGCATATTGTGGTTCCCAAACTGTGTACCAAACTATTCCAATGAACTCAAATGGGCGCTGTGAGATATTTTAAATTTTTTTAGTGAAACATAACAATATTCAGTATTTGTTGGAACTACTAGTTCTAAACAGTTCAGTTTCAATATTAGATTGTGCTACATTCCTTCTGATAGTCTTACTAGTGAAGCTGGGTTTCTGGTAAACGAAAAAAAAAGTAATGACTAAAAATCAACGTGAAAGTGGAGGTGGGATCACAGCGTCCAATCGGATTCCAAGGTACGACAAGTCACGCAACGTTCAACAGGTGGACACATCCCACTGTGGTTACTAAGTAAAAATATTTTTTCTTCAATTTATCTGTAGTATTTTTTCTAAATAGCTACTAAGTGATTAGGAAATAACCTAATTAAATTCTACGGAACTAACTACTTAATAAATGGAATTGCTTTGTAATTCTTTTGGCCTGGGGTTCCATAAGATTACTGAGACACTAAGGGCTCCATGAATGAGAGTCTGGGAAACTCTGATGTACACTATGACAGCAAGTCAACAAATACTTCAAATAAAAAGAAATTATGCAAACTCAAGCAGTTAAGAGTAAGGACTACAGCATGTTTTTTTCTCAAAGTACTGTTTAAATCCGTTACTATACTGAGTTCACTAAAAACAGAGGGGGACATCAAGCCTATTATAATCACAGAGTCAAAATCGTTTCTCTGGTCAGAGATTTCTAAATTACAACCAAAGGCTTACCTTAGTTTTTTAGTTTTAATAACATGAAGGTCTTACAATACTTTCTTGCTTAGAAGAGTAAAAAATCTTTCAAAGCATTCCTATTAAAAAGATTAAATATAAAACCCTGCATTTGTTATACAATTTATAAGCACTTGGATTTAGATTAATCATTTTGAGCCTTACAGCCATCTATTCAGGTAGCAGCACTATCACTCCCACATTATTGATGAGAAAACTGAGATTTAGAAAAATTAAATGACTTGCTCAAAGCCATACAAGCATTTATTGAGCACTCATAATATTAGGCACTGTGGAATATAACACTAAAAAAAAAGTTAATAATTCTTGACCTTATGGAGAGTGTATTTTAGTGGTAGAGCCAGAACCCAAATCCAGCACTTGTGACCCCAAATATAGTATTTCTTTTGTTTGCTTGTTAGTTTTAATTCTATTTATTTGTTTAAGCTTCACATTTAATAAGCATTTACCATATAATATATTGTCAGTTATCATAAAATAAAGATATGATTACCCCAAGCAGCTTACAATATGTGGAGAGTACCTATAATCTAGTGGGAAAAGAACGTAATTCACATGGTGCAGCAGGTTAAATGACGGCCTCCCAGAGACAGGTTTACATCCTAACCCACGGAACCTCTGAATGTGAGCTTATTTGGAAAAAGGGTCTTTGTGGTTGTAATTCAGTGAAGTTATCTCAAGATGAGATCATCCTGGATTATCCAAGTGGGCTCTAAATCCAGTAAGTGTCTTTATAAGAGACACACAAAGTAGAGGCTCAGAGAAGTCCCCGTGCAAAAGGAGGTACAGGTAGAAGTTACGTAGTCACAAAGCAAGGAATACCTGGAGCAACCAGAACTTAGAAAAAGAAAGAAAATTTTCCACTGGGAGATTTGATGCAATCCCTCTAAAAATACCAATGGAATTTTTCATAGAACTGGAACAAAAAGTCCTAACGTTCATCTGGTGACACACAAGAGCCTGAATTAGCCAAAGCAACCTAAGAAAGAAGACAAAGGCAGAGGTATCAAGCTCCTTGACTTCAAACTACACTACAAATGTAGCTACAGTAATCAGAACAGTACGGAACCGGCAAAGAAACAGATACACAGATCAACGGAACAGGACAGAAAGTCCAGAAATAAACCCACGCACTTATGGTCAATTAATCTACGACAAACGAGGCAAGATTATAAAATGGGGAAGAGACAGTCTCTTCAGTAAGTGGTGCTGGGAAAGCGGGACAACCACACATAAAAGAAAGAAATGACAACATTCTTTAACATCTTATAGAAAAATAAACTCAAAATGGATTAAAGACCTCAGTGTAAGCCTGGGTACAATGAAACCCCTAGAGGAAAACGCAGGCAGAACACGGTGACACAAAGACAGCAATAGTTTTTTCAAACCAACTCCCAGAGTAATGGAAGTAAAAGCAAAAATAAACGAATGGGACCTAATTAAACTTCAAAGCCTGTGCACAGCAAAGGAACCATGAACAAACAAAAAGACAACCTACAGAATGGGAGAAAGTATTTGCAAATGATGTGACCAACAAGGGTTGATTTCCAAAATACACAAACAGCTTTCAGAGCTTAGTATCAAAAACACAAACCAACCCAACCAAAAAGGGGCAGAAGACCTAAACAGACATTTCTGCAAAGACATCCAGATGGCCGACACGAACATGAAAAGATACTCTATATTGCTAATTACTAGAGAAATGCAAATCAGAACTGTAATACACCTCACACCAGTCAGAATGTCCATCATTAAAAAATCTACAAACATAAATGTTGGAGAGAGCGTGGAGAAAAGGAACCATTCTACATTGTTGGTAATGTAAACTGGTGCACCCACTAAGGAGGACAGTATGGCGGTTCCTTAAAAATCTAAAAATAGACTTACTATATGATCCAGCAATCCCACTCCTGGGAAACAAGACTCCTTACAGATACAAAGAGCAAACTGGTGGTTGTCAGAGGGGAGAGGGATGGGGGTAGGGTGACGCAGCCAAAGGGGATTAAGAGGTACAAGATTCCAGTTATAAAATAAAGTCACAGGGATGTAATATACAGAGTAAGGAATATAGTCAGTTATTCTGTAGTCATTTTGTATGTGACAGTTTCTAGACTGATGGTGATTCCTTTCATAATGTATTTAAAAGTCAATCACTATGTTGTACATGTGAAACTAACTTAATACTGTATGTCAACTCGACTTCAGTTAAAAAAGAAAAAAAAAAGAAAAGAAAAAATAACTAGAAAAAAGAAGAAAAACAAAAGAATTCATCTCTAAGTCTTTCAAAGGGAACACAGTCCTGCCAATACCTTGATTTGAGATGTCTAGCCTCAACAATTGTTGAGAATAAATATCTGTTGTTTTAAGCCATCAAGTTTGCGGTAATTTGCTACAGCAGCCATAGGAAACGTACACACAGTACATAAATTACCTCTGTGATTTTAACTGCTTTCCTCATCTGCTGCTGTTCCCAAATATCCTGATTTGTATCTTCTTGACTTTCTTCGCTTGTCTCTTCATTTTTGGTTGCTAGAGAAAAAAAAAGTTCATGTGTAAATATTCCATATCTTCCCATTCTAACAGCAGCAAACATTTTTGGGGAGCTTACAATGTGCTGGCTTAGCACCTTTTATATGTGTTAACTTATTCTTCACAGTAATTCTGGGACGAAGGCACTATTATCACCCTCACTTTATAAACAAGGGAATTCAGATATCAGGAGGTTAAATAACTTCTCCAAGCACTGTGTTGAACCTGTGACTTGAATGTAGCAATCTGACACTCATCACCAAACTGCCTCACTCAAAACACAATGGGCTCACATACAGAAAAAGCTTAGAAAAAAATGAAACATCTGGTTTTATCAGATTCTCAATTCTACCTAAGAATCTAAATCAGCAAAAATAATCTCTGGGTTAACAGAAACCAAAAGTCCCATTCTAAAATAATATTATTTGAAATGACAATAACTTTGGTAAAACAATATTGTTTACATATGAGAAACGTGAAGATAGTCTTTTGAGAACAAACAATTATTGGCTGAGGAAAACTTTTTACTAGAGCAGGGAAGATTTTAATATATGACACCTAAAATCCCTACAGATGCTTTCATGTTAAAAAAAAATCTTATAAAGGTGACAATGAAAGTTTTCAATATAAAAAAGTAAGATACTATATAATTTTGCTAACCTGCCAAGAAAGATCAAGTGGAGATCAGATAACAGTAAACATTATTGCACATACCCTTTGATAATAACATGTTGATACAGACATGTATTTCAGAAGCCGTGATGTCAGTGACCTAAATTGGTATTTAAAAAAAACCCTTAAACACCCATGAGACACTACATTATGTTTTTATGGAGTTTTTTTTTTTACCATAATACTATATTCTAATGAAAAATGTTTATACATCATAAATAAATTAAATACATACTTGTTTCTTCAGCCATTCTTTGCCTAAGCGTCTGAAGCTTTGGCATAAATGGAATTATCTTTTCATGATCATCAGGCTCACTCTCAGAATCTTCACTGTTTTTCTTCGTACCAGAGATGAGGGAGACATGCTTTACATCCAAAGAAATATAGTCCTCTTGGGCCCTGGCCAATTTACGTGTTCTATAGGCTGCCCGAATAAAAGCTGCATCAGGGATGTTTACTGAAAGAAACAAGGAGGAGGGCATTGATCACAAAACATCAATAGAAATAAACATTACCAATATTTAAATAAAGGAAAAAAAGCACTATTTTTTCAACTTTTTTCACTATTTTGATATGAATATAACTAAATGATCCAAAATGTGTACCAATGGAAGATAATTATTTTGATAGAGATTAAATATAAATTAGAGAAATGAACCAAATCTAGAAGTATCAGAAAATACAGTGAAACCATTCCATTCATCTTTTAACTCTTATTCACCAGGTGCTGCTGCTGACTTTTCGTTGAGGGCTCGCTCTCTCTCATTTCCAGACCCTCTGAGATTATCAGGGCAGGGATGTGGAGAGGGCTGAGCATGGAGTCGCTCAGTCAGGGAGAACTGCAGAGGTCAGAATGGGTGGTAGAGCGGAATGAGTCACAAAGCAAGAAAGACATTATACGACGACCTGTTCCTCCCCTTCGGGAATCCAGGCACACAGGGCGTGAGAAACAGACTAAAACCCAGCACACCGTCAAATCAGCCTTCAAGGCCGTGTGGTGATTCTCATATGAATAAACTAAAAGAAAAGTTAAAAAGTATAAAAGAAATAATCAGGTTATTTACCAGGTGAAAAATATTTAAGGGACAAATTCTTTTAAGAGACTTGTTTGATTTTTCCTTTACTTTATACAGTACAAACCACATTAATATAGACTCTGTCAACTCAAAATAAGTTTCTGCATGCATGATCTAAGCTGAAATTTAACTTCACACTTTGGAAAAAAATTGGTTTCTTAAGCAAAATACTAAGGTAAACAAAACAGCAAGAGAAATCTTTATCATTTAAGGACTTCAAAATATTAAATCAGGAGTGCCAAGCCACTGAGCAAAATTTTCTAACCATTCCCACAAATCAGTCTCAATTCTTTGAGAAATAAATAGAAAAGGTATTATATGCATGGAGATGCAGAAATACTCTAATTTTTGAAACAGAAAAAGAGAGAGAGATTTCAGAAATTACAGACCAAAATACTTGACACCAGTCCTAGAAAACAAAAAGTGCTTGACATAATTATGAAGCAGAAAGTGGTGAGCCCTAGGAACTAATATGTACTCATTAAAAATAAGGAGTATCAAACCAAGTGATTTATTTTTTATAAACGAGAATTATTTGCAGGATAGCATCAGGAAAATGATTCAGGCGACGTGTCTCTTCATCCTCCCGAAGCACTGTGGGCAATGTTAAAAGTATACAGAGGAAAAATCACACAGTGCACTGGATCTTGAACTGGCTGAGTAACTACTCCAGAAACAAAAATATAAACAAAAACCTGATTATGAAGCAATGTAAGGATCCGCAAGACGGCTCTGAATTCTGTCTTCCCTTTTTTAATGCTTTTATTGTGAAGTGAATTAAGGCAGGATGACATACCTTTAAAGCTGGAAGTTACAGCTGGCACAATTTAAAGCAGAATTAAAATTCAAAAACATCACAGCAGGTTCTGTATCAGCATTTACTGACCCTTACTACACGTCAGACCCCCTGAGAAGGCTGACAGTCTGCTGCTAATTCGGCTTCCATCCCAGAGATTCAGACTCAGTCGACCTGAGGTAGAGCTGAGCAGCAGGATGTTTTTATAGCCCCCTACGGGACTTCACTGTACAATCAGGGTCAAGATGACACACTTAAGTTCAAATACTCAAGCGTATAAACACAGAAACAGGAATACTTCAACTGGAAATGATTCAGCTGCAAGTGACTTAGTGGGGTTTAATTAATGGATCACAGGCCATGGACTCACTAGTGAGATACTACTGTTACTATAAAGCCAGTCCTTTCTCAAGCTACAATAAAGAAATAAAAGTTCAAGGAAGAATATTCTTTCCTGTCCTGTCTATACATCTAACACCTAGCTCAAGGGTTCCCACACAGCAGACGCTGGTCAGACATGGGATGAATTAATAATGTTAGCATATTGTTTTATAATAATAAAAACAGTTTTGCAGACTTAGAACTCACAAATAATTTTCACATACATCATGCTATCTAAAGAGTAGAGGTTAGGAGAGGGATCAAGATGGCAGAGCAGGAGGACGTGGAGCTCACGTCCCCCATAAACACATCAAAATTTCGTCTACATGTGTAACAATTCTCAGAAAACCAACTGGAAACTGGCAGATCTCCCACATAACCAAAGCTGCAAGAGGCTCTCCATGTAACTGGGCAGGACAGGGGAATAAAAAGGCATCAGGACGGGACCGGCATCCTTGGGAGAGGTCTGTAAGGGAGAGGAGGTTCACACAGGCAGACTCTCACCTGGGAAGCCCCCTGCCAGCTGGGAAATCCGCTGGGACAGACAGAGGGGCTGGGGAAGCCTAGGTTCTTCTGTGAGGAATGCCGGCAAGCTGGCTTGCTAACAATCAGGGTGGAGAGGACCAGTGCTAGTGACTGTCACCTTGTGGCACTTCCCAAGCTTCCCCTGACCTCCCAAACCCAAGCGTGCATCAGGCAGGGTCACAAACACACCAAGTGCTGAATCTCAGGCAGACAGGACCTGGGAGAGGACTCCATCTACCTGTGTGGAGACAGCCCGGAGGGACGGGGATGTGGTCCAGGCTGAACAATGGAGCCCGCTGTCCAGTACACACGGTAGGCGTGGGTCTGGCTGTGGCAGACTTAGTCAGAGAGCACACCAGGCGGCACCACAGAAGTGCACAGTGGCTGGGTGTTGAGGCTCGGGCGGACAGGCCCCGGGCAGCAGTGTGCAGAGATTCACTGCCTGGTGGGAGTGCTCCAGTCCTGCCTACCCCACACCTCAACTTGGAGACAGAATTGGGGCTGACGGTTCTGGGACAGGGCTGACACAGCGGCAGCCCAGGTCCCAGGCAGGAGCACGACCACCTTGATCCCACAGCCACAGGGCCCAGGCCTCCAGCTCCAGCCCACTCTAAACCACAGCCTAGTACTAGGTCTGACGAACGAAACGGAGAAAGGGACACAGCCCAGTGCTGCTTCTGGATGGAACTGCAGTGCCTGCGTGATGGCACACAGGTCCCCTGTGACCACACAGCGGCCTTGCATCTGTTTTTCTCAGAAGTGGTCTTAGGCGTCATTAGACTGAAGAGAGTCCACAGCACAGACAAGTTATGAACCTCTGAGCTAGAGCAGAAGGCCAAGTGAGTATCAGTGGCTTTTCAGGCCATGAAGTCTTTGTCACAACTTCTCAACTCCGCCATTTTGTCTGCAGTCAAAAGCAGACACAGACAATACATAACTGAAGGAGCATGGCTTTGTTTTAATAAAACTTTACTCACAAGAGCAGGCAGTGAGCCAGATTTGGCCCACTGGTGGTAACTTCCCAACCCCTGAACTGGACTTCACTTTCTAAAACACAAATTTGGTCATGCCACTTATTTGCATAAAATTTTCAGTAGTTCTCTCAAAACCCTGTATTATTTCACTCCAGTGTGTCCCTCTGCTTTCTTTTTGTTCTTCTTTCTTAAACTTTAATCAAGTACTTTCAGTTCAAAAACTACTTTTAGTTCTCCACACATGCTATTTTTCTTTTTCTTTTAGAGTTTTATATGTGCTACATCCTGCACCTGAAACATCCTCACAGACGAATTCTTACCATCTTTCAGACACTGGCATGAATCACCCAGTACAGCACAGCTGTTAAGAACACAGGCTCTGGAGCAGACTAGCTCTGCCTCGTACAAGCCATCTGACCCTGGACACGTTATGGAACATAAATGAGCAGGCAACTTTGGCACTCGGATAATCATTAGTAATCACTTGCTCCATACTTCACTAGAGTTTAGCAATAAGAAGAATCACTGGTATAGAAAATACTAATACTATAAATAAAGCTCTTAACCAAAATTACAAAAATTACCAACCTACTGATGAAACTTCTTCGTCTTCCAGAGAGCTAGAGCCACCGGAAAATGAACTCTGATCATCTTTACTTTCTGAAGAATGATGTGTTCCATCCTCTTCGTCTGTTGAAAGATCTACCACTCTGGATTCTAACAGGACATTTTTAAAATAAAACAAGAAAGATTCAAGATGTGGAATTAATAATTGAAATTATAAACAACACATGGCATATGTAAAACATGGTGTTTTAATTTTACTCCACATATTTGAAGTAGATGTGCAGATCTTTCCTTAACTTCCATCCTTTCTGAAATCAATGGAAAATCTAATAAATGTACAAAGATTTATCCTATTTGTACTATCTACTTTACTAGTAAATACTCCCTTAAAGAATGAAATGAAAAGAGGAGAGGGAACATAAGAAAAAAAAGAAAATTACAAAAATGGAAAAAAATACTTACACCAGAAAAGAAACATAGTGGTAGAGAGTAAGTAAAAAAAAGAAGAGAATACTTAATGCATACTTGCTACGTGCTGGCCATACTGAAGTCTGTTTTACAAGGTTTATTTCCTTTAATACTCACAATTCTATAAAGTAAATTACTGATGATGACACTAAGGGTTGGAGAGGCTAAATAACACATCCAGCGTCACAAAGTTACTAAATAGAGAAGCAGGACTCTCACTCTAATTTCACCCAACTCTGGAACTTAGGCTCTCAAATTTAAGCATTATGTCACATTTCAATGGCTGGTCTTAAGAAGTACTGTAATGAGCTGTGGTCTCAAACCAAATCAAGGATGTGTTTCCACTGTGTCATTCTGGAAAGGAGCTGATCTATTAAACAAAGATAACATTAAGAGATAACACCCATGGGGTGATATGAGAACTCAATGAGCAAAATATAAAGGAATTCATAGTATTATTGACAAAAAAGGACTTGTTAGTTTACAATTACTTTGTAAGATTCATGAATAACCTTAATACTTAAATACTACATAAACAGTATTACATAAGACTACATAAATAGTGCTCTTTATTTTAAAAGCGTCCCTTAATTAGAAGACCTATATACATTTCAAGAAAGTCTGGAGTAAGATCAAAACTTAAAAGACAAAGGAATATAGCTGCAGCTTACATCTATCTTAGTTACTGCTGCTTATGACAACTCCTACATCTTCCTGTAGTGAAGCTGAAGTAAAGTCACACCAAAGCAGTGGTTCTCAGAGTGTGCTCCAGGCACCCTTGGAGGTCCCTCGAACCCTTTAAGAGGGCTTTAAATTCAAAACTACTTTCATCACAATATTAACATGTGACTTGCATTTTTCACCCTGGGGATGTTTACATAAGGAAGCAAAAGCTGTGGTGGACAAAACCCCTGATCTCTTAGTTTAAATCAAGGCAGTGATACCAAAATCTGCAGAAGCAGCCACCGTATTCTTTGCCACCACGCATCAGCAAGAAAAATAGTCAGTTTCACTTATGGTTCTTAAAGAAGCAATATAAATTAATTTTATTAAATCTTAACCTTGAGTACATATCTTTTTAATATTCTGTGGATCAAAATGGAAACATGCATAAAGCATTTCTGGGGCATGCTGAAACGCAACGGTTGGCTCAAGGAAAAAGCGCTTGTGTTATGCAACTGCAAGTTCAGCTTAGCTACTGTCTTTAGGAGGAATACCATTTATTCAGATACGGACATATGACAGACATTTTCTCAAAAATTAGTAAACTTGTGACTATCACTTCAACAATCAGAGATTTCAAGTGAAGACTATGTAATTCCAGTAATTCAAGTGCACTGTAAATTCCATAGCTTTCTAGTATTTAAAAGATTGATGATACTAGTAGTATCATTAAGAGAGTTCTTCTGGATATTGTGTCAAGTGTACCAACATTTGCAAAAACTTCAACTCAGTGAACCAATACTTCCCAGAGAGTATTTCAAGGGGTATTTTTCCCAAAGTGCAAAACACACCAACAGATTTTAATCTAATGGAGTACAAAAAAATTGACTGATATGGTTTCAGTTTCCACTTGAAAACTAACTTTTGAGAACCTATTACTTGTTGAACTTTGTTGTAACATTAAAGCAGAATACCGTCAGTGAACGACTAGGTTAAGTAATCTTAACCACCTATCTGCGGTTTTGAACCTTCAAACAAAGTGACATATTTCAACACACTGAACACAGAAACAGCTTTGAGAATTTCGCTGTCTCCCATTAAGCCCCACATTAAAGAGACTTGCAAATTGAAAACAATGTCACTCTTACTATTTTTGGGAAAATAGTTATTTTTCACAAAAATGTTTCTTATCCTTACATGTAATTAGTTAATTTAAAAAGAATTAATAAAAATTATCTTAATTCCTAATATGGTAAATATTATACATGTAATCCACCAAAACAAAAGCTCTTTGGGATCCTTAACAATTTTTAAGAGTATGAAGGTATGCCCTTACACTCTTACCAAAGCACCAAAAACTTCGCGAGGCACTGTTCCAGAAGGCAAGAGAAAAGGCAACTCTCCGCCTCAATTCTCCCTATTAAAGTTTACCCAGACCACTTACATAGATATAAAATAGAAATAAATCATCAAAACTTCAGGTAAATAGGTGATTACAATAATGACTAAGAAATCACGTCGACTAAAAACAGTGGGGAGAAATTTTTTTCTTTACCTCAAGACTAACCGAAAACTATATTATTATTAAATTCAAACCAGAACGTCTTACGTAAAGAAGTTTATGCTGCTTGAATTCTATTTCTAAGAACGTCAACACCCTTCAAAATGACTACCATTTGGTAGTCTACAGTGTCACCAATCTACTGTGGCACGGTTTTTCCCTTTAAATTGCTGATTAAGAAAGCAAAAGGAAATGTCCCAAAGCTTGTCACCTATTTTTTTTAACTGTACCATTCTGGTCAAGCGTTTTGCAGACAAAATAATTGAGGACGTTTCTAGAAAGTACTTCCGCCTACCTAAGAGTACTAACGATTTTTTAGCTCTTCTGTGACGATTTAGGTTCTTCATGAACACCCAGCGCAGCACGAAAGCTGCAACGGGAGGGTTCACCCGACGGCGCAAAAGCACAGACGAGCCCCGAGCCGCACAGGGCCCTTCCCACG